CGTGTCCCTGTGTCGCCCCTGACCCCTGCCCCGTTCAGGAGCGCCCGGCAGCGCCACCTGCACCTGACCAGTCCGACAGCGTTTGGGGTCGCCACGCACCACCGACAATCAGCTGACGCGGCCGGCGGCGCGTCTCAAGGTCACTGGAGGTCAGCCGGGCGACGGCCCGCCGGGGTGGCCGTGACGTCACAGCCAGCGAGCGCCGAGCGCCGGAACACCCACTCAGGGGCGTCGTTTTGTATAGGCCTGGTAGGGCCCGAGCCCTACCAATGTTTATTTGGGCACTGACAATGTTCGCTGAGCCCTACCAATCTTTTGTCACTTATCAGTTTATAAAAATATCAAAATAAACAGATAACCGAAGGTTTGTTGTCAATAGTTAAAACACTATTCTTAAGAATTGTGTTTTTCTATTGAAAACAAATCTGAGTTCCCTGACAATTGGCAAAAGCTGCCTGAGATCAGTAAGCGAATAAGCACATATGCACATATAAAAAGTTCTGGCCACGCAGTAGGTGCATGTGCCATGTAGCCCACAATGAGATGTCGTGTCTTGGACTCTGGTCCTTGGTGGATCCTAAGAGGCTCGAAAGACCAGTTGGTTGGTTAAAGGTAGTGTGCCAGCTTTCCTGGACCATATGGAGTTAATGGCCCAGATAAGGAGAACCGGATTTTTAGAACTTATCCATACCTTCAAAACTCATGGAAACGTCTTAAATTCTTCAAATTTTGAGTACCCCAGTGCGAAATTCGCCCCGACGGGTTGTCGATCGTACCCCAACCACATTTCACACCACTATGAACAATAAATGCACACACTGAAATCGCTATTACCGATAGGCTCATCCAATCAAGTTTCGATAAACCCGTTCATCTCCTGCGGTTTCGAACACGCCTGTTACTGTTAACGCCAGATCCCTTGAGCCCCTGATTTTTCGCGATTATTTTTAAATGCGTGGAATAAGTTCAACCATATTTAGGAAGTAGCTGTTTGAAGACCTGCCGAAACTTTTTCTACAAATACATTTTGTTGTCACTTAAATATTTGTGGCACTTGTCATTGACTCGTAATGTTAACTGTTTTTCCATCCTGGATAGAGGCTTTCATACGTCATATGACATTAGGCTCCGCCCACGGCTGCGGCATTGACCCGTGCCCATCAACGACCTCTGTACCAGCATCTGCGATGCTGGGCTCCGCATCGCGGGACCGCAGGTTGTTTGAGCAAGCACCTCTGTAACGCCGCCAAAACACCCGCCGCCAAACGAGAGGACGAGCCTTGTCTAATGAAACAACAACCTGCGGTTAACCAAATTTGAGCTCAATCGGCCCAGCCGTTTTCAAGATCTTGAAACGACCCCTACACGTGCGCACGTGCAGTTGCATCTCAACCGTGACACATGGAAATATATACTAACTGACTTGTGCACGGCACCCTACTGATCGGTCTCTAGATGTGTGCCGAATTTGAGTGCAATCGGTCCAGCCGTTCTTGAGATCTGGAAGCGTCACCCTGCACGTGCGGACGTGCAAGATGGGTCCTAACTGACTTGCGCACGGCAGCCTACCAACCGCGGCACATGAAAATACATACTTACTGACTTGTGCACGGCACCCTACTAACCAGTCTCTAGTGGTATGCCAAATTTGAGCACAGTCGGTCCAGTCGTTCTTGAGATATGGAAGCGTCGTCCTGCACGTGCGCACGTGCAAACTGGGTCCCATCTGACTTGTGCACGGCACCCTACTCGCCGATCCCTAACGGTGTGCCAACTTTGATCACAATCGGCCCAGCCGTTCTCGAGATCTGGAAGCGTCACCCTGCCCGTGCGCACGTGCAGCGGCACCCCAACCGTGACACATGGAAATGCATTGCGGGGCGGGTGCCTACATCCATGCCAAGGATAAGCGCAATCGGCAAACTAACTACAGAGTTATTAGACTTGTTACCGAACTGACTTCTCTTCGTTTTGCACGTGGCACGTGCATTAGGGGTCACCCATACGCATCGAGAGCAGCACACTACGTGTAAGAAAGGAAGGAGCTATCCCACACAAAAGACCGCGAGTGAATCGGTCAAGCAGTTGTGGAGATAGAAGCTTTGCAAAGCGCCCCCAAGGCGGCCGACTGCTAATATTTAGCAATAATCAGTGTCGCATCCGCACACGGGAGGTATCCCCGTCACCTGTTCGTATACTCTGAATGTGGTTGGGTTCAAGTCACAGTCGAGCCATGCTTTTTTACAGCTTTTCTTAAAAACGGCACATCGTGCAGTGACGTTCTATACATTGTTGGAAAGAGCATCGAAAGTTGTATATTTTATTAACTTTTCACTTTGATACATCTGCAACGTAAAAAGTTATTAAGCAACAAAGACGCTTCCATTGACTTTCCATGTTAAAATTTTTCATTTTCAAACGAACTTTATTAGAAAAAACGATTTCTGCCAGCTTAACGAAGCATACCAGCATGTACTATGCTCCTTTCTCTACAAGATATAAGAGTTTGGGCGAAATCTATCTCTAAAATTTTGTACAAAGATCGAATGAAAATGTCTCTGCAAAGTCTCGACATCGCCGTCCATTGACTTAACATGGGACACAGCAAGATTCCAACTTTGACCTCGAGCAAAGACACGTTACGAACTTCTGAGGGGTATACAGCGCACACTGGCGTGTACCCAAACGTGTTTGCCATAAAATGCTGGGAAGAAAACCACCTCTTCCTTGGCTCGTTTTCCCGCCATTCGCGATCGCGCAAAAAGTGTCCAAAACCCCGTTGACTTAACATGGGGAAAATGGAATCGCACGTGCCACGAGCAAAAGAATTCTGAGCGAGTAGCGACCGGTGCCATCAGGTAGATCGCCTCCGGGAGCCCATACCCTGAAATTTTTACGAAGATTGAGCGATTCGTTTAGGCCAGACTCAAGATGTCTCGATTCGCTGCCAGACTTGCAAAACATAGCCCGGAGAACGACCGCTCCGGTTGTTTTTCAATAGAAAAACACAATTCTAACGAATAGTGTTTGTCTTTTCAAACAACCTGCGGTTACCAGCATCTGCGATGCTGGGCTCCGCATCGCGGGACCGCAGGTTGTTTGAGCAAGCACCTCTGTAACGCCGCAAAAACGCCCGCCGCCAAACGAGAGGATGAGCCTTGCACGTGCAGATCGGAGTGCGTGTTCTACGAACTGACGTGCACTGCACTCTACGCCGCCAACCGCAAAACGCCGCAAAAAACGGCCGCCCGCCGTCAAACGCAAAAACCGCAAAAATGCGCCCGGCCGCCGCCAACCGAAAATAAACCTTTCACCGAAAACGACGCAAAAACAAAATCACCCGTTTCGCGGCGGGCGGGCGATGGGCGAATTTTTTATGGGCGATTTTTTTAGCCAAACTCAGACTCGGGCTCTGAGTGCAGCCTGAGTTATAGATGTCGCTGTCATTCAGCCACTGAAACAAAAGCGCCACGATTACCGTCAAATCATATTTCCTACGCGGCCGAGAAAAAAATGAAGCGGAAAGTGAGTAAGACCTACCTGACACACGGTACAGTTGTTTTGAACATCACCAGTTGAACCACGAGGCATCCATATTCCATACCAACGAAAAGTTTTCCATCTCTTGGTATATTAGCCGTAGGCTAATATTCCAGGCAGCGGCACGAGGAGCCGGATGGAGGAAACATGGATGCACGCTTGGTAAGGGCTGGATAGTATATTAGGACGTGAGCTTTACCAAAAGGCATCCACGCACCGCGCTGCCCGCCCTTGACGCAGTTAGCAAAAAAGTTGGCTCAAAATGTGATAGCCATCTTTCAATTACGTTAATTCAAGTTCGAAAGATGATTGGTGTTACTAAAAAAAGACTACGTCAAGAGCCCGTTACGATGTAACGGAAGACAAACCAGCCACTCCACACCTAGGCAGTTTTTCACACGCATTCCTGCATTCACACTCGCCATTTCGTGCACCGGCCTGCCCGCTGCACAACGTAATATCTATGGCAACTATACTGTCTAAGGCATGATTGTTGCTCCTAATGGTTTTCTTTTTTCACAGACTGGAGTGTGCTTTACATGAAAATATAATGTAGTAGATGATACCTGCTCATTTCATCACTAAACGTGTGAAATGTTCAAATCATGTTGGCATGTGGATAAGATCCGAGACTAGGAATTTAAAGTGTAGAAATGTCGGTGGCTGCTGGACGCATCTGCAACTGAGCTCATGGTCCTAATCATCCGCGAAAGTGACGAAACTACAGGAATGTCACGATAAAGATGCGCAGTACCCTGTATGTTCATGGCATACAGCTGCAAGCTAAGACAAAACTAGAAACGATCTTTGGGTAGAACATATAAAGTGAAGCAATACCAATGCAGAACTACTTGGAGTCACAGGAACCAGTGTGTCCAACATATCAATCAGCTAACATGTAAGAACGCATGTGTAAGGCCGCATGCGCAACTGTAATCCCTCTTGATCGACTACAAGAATGGAAAGAAAACGTCAACGGAGTAAAACTTCACCATGTGAATCTGCGTATAACTGGCATTCGTGATCAAGTATGCACAACAGATGTGAGGTGAGGACGCGGTGTCATTGCGATACAACATCAACTGATGCAATATTGGAATGCATTTTGCACTCATTCTTGCATATTGATAAGATCAAAAGTAAGGCGATAATGTGGATAAGTGTGTTGACAGATGTCGAAGACTGACGGTGATTACGAACTGCTTAACAGGCGACCGGATTGACGGTGATGCGCCTGACCGATCGTTGGAGTGCATGTCGCATCTGATGTCTATGGAAAACGGCAAAGGAGAAAACAGGACTATGGTGAAGGGCTGTTCTAACATCACATAAAACGGGAATGAGCAGTAACACCTCCCAATGAAAGCAGTGAAAAACAGCGAAACTGCCTGTTTATCCTGCCATGGTGCTAATGCCCAAAGTCAAGTTTTGTTTGTGTGTGTGTGTGGAAAGCGGTAGGGCCCTATGCGCTAAGCTTTCATCCGTTTTAGCTTTGGTATCACAATACAAGTATTAGGTGCTCGCACACTACTGCCAGTAGTTCAGTCGGTACTGAGTAGCCCGCAGCTAATAACAACCTGATATTTGCTTCCTGCACAAACGTAGATGGCGGCTAGCATTATGGAAGTGTCTTTACATGATGAGTCTGATCGACGATGATGAATGAAATAATCATTTGAACTCGTTGAAAGATGACGATGTCCGGGTCACAACGAAGTGACTTAAAACTTGCAGGATGGATAACTGATGATTGGGCCGATGAATGTGGCTTGTGCTGCAGCCGAGGCCTGTGGGGACGGACGACCGGTGAGGTACAAATGGAGCAAGGAAACGAGACGTGAATGTACACCAAGCACAATGATATTTAGCTATCATAAGCGTTGACAATGGTGAATAGTCGAGCTGTTCGTCATCTTGAGCCTTCACGTCATAGCCATTGCAATATCAAGCTACCCAAATTGTCATTAGCTTTCGCAGCCCAAGTCCAGTATTGAGTGCTCAAAGAACTTGCCAAGGCAATATAGCTGTGAGCAGCCCGAAGTTCATGGACGGATGATGACCTTTCCCTCTAGCAAAAAGTAGACGACGTCCAGCGCTATAGTCGAACAGTGCCACTGCCAGAAAGGGAGAAGGTTTGCGAAATTCGGTTCGAATATCGGGAATTCGGGAATTCGGTTAGATGGTTATGGAATGGACCATATTAAGGCATTTAGAATATCCTGCGCACGGTTTTCCTGAAAACCTGAAAACCGTAGATAGTGGGAAAACCTCAGGGGGGGGGGGCGGAAATCCGCCCCCCCCCCGTCGGTGCGCGGGATATATTTGATTGATATGTGTAGGCACTGCTTTAAAAATACAGTAAAACACTGAAAACTAGTGATGTCAATTACGGAAAATCGGAATACCGATACCAAACCAAATACCAACCAAAACCGTGGAGAAATATACCGAAACCAAACCAACTTGGGAACATGAGGAAAAAAACAACTTTTTACCGATTTCTTAGCCTCTTAGACATTAGCGAGGGTTCATGATACCAACAAAATACCAAACACATTAGGATTGAAATACCAAATACCGAGTTGGTATCGGTTTGGTATCGGTATACCAAAAAGTTGGTATCCGATTGACATCTCAACTGAAAACCAAAGCAACGTTGGAATGATTTTCCGTAGGTATGCGTTTAGTTAGCCAAGCAAACAAAGTCACAGGCTCTTGCACATATTACAGAGTGCTCCGGCACTGGTGTAACAAACAACTCACTTGCACTGGGGTTCGGGCTCACAGAGTAGATCCAACAGATAACAGGTCGCATTCAGCATTGCGCCGGACACTGCTGAAAATGTTGACAAGTGTCTGTCAGTAAACGCAAACATCAATCCCAATAGATAGGTACATGAAGACGATGACAAACATGTTGGCATTGTGTAGGAATGAGGACAGTAAATGATCACACAAAATGTAAAGCATTCTGCAACGTGTTGACAATGGACATTCAAATATGAATACATACCAGCCGTACGCAAGTGTCTTCGAAAATGTTGATCTCTTGATGGTGATGGAGAAGGTGTATCACGTCCACAGGCTTCAAGAAGTCGATCCATTGTCCGCATATTGTTAAATTTGGTCATCACATGTCCGTTTTCAACGCATCCGTAAACCGATGGCGAGAGCATTTAAGAACGTTTGAGCATGTGACTGAAATACTCAAAGACACAAGTTGGAGGAAGGAGCAGGCGAAAAAAGAAAGATAACAACACAGTGTATGAGCATCGTGTTCCAGTGCTAAAAATATAACTGAACAGGAAATGCAATATCATGTGTGGATCGCTCATGAGTGTGAACACATGCTTACATAGATGCATACCTACACTATACGAAAACATGACCGCTTTTTACGAGTGATTAACTGCTACATTCAGTGAACTGCATCATGTGGTACATGTTTGCGGGCGGAGCATGTCTACCGAATTCATCGGCAATACAATTAAAACAAACACACACATACGTAGAACTAGATGATGAGAGCTAGTGTAAGCGGGTGTACAGGTGGCTAATGTATATCTGCAGATAACTAATAGCTAGTGACAATAAAAAAGTGCCAGCAACGGCCAGCGCAATGGGTGCTCCGTGATCGACGGTAAAATCTTCAACGGTATCGACGGTAAAGATGACTGGTAATGCACCTGTGAAAATAGGAGAAGCAACGGATGATTAGCTGACATGACAGCAAGTCGAAACGAATCGTCGATAAAATATAATATGTCAAGTCCGCGGATTTCTAAGCTTATGATTTTTCGATTTCGACGACTGTGAGTGAAAATGCATTTCAGATGAGATATTCGATAAATATTACTAAAACCCTTAGAAGTCAATAGGCAGAGGGCTACAAGCCTACTTTATTCAACGTTGAATACCCACCCATAAAGGTCAGTTCATCCGAGTATTACCGCCTCCAAAAAATATTAACGTTTTGTAGGCATACAGTACCGTAAAACCGTTTGGAATCTTGGAGCAGAGCTGTTCGTTAAGCTAACAGCATCCTTTGATAATGAAATGGGCCGGAGGCAGAAACTGGCACTTGAGAATGCAGAGGCAGTCATCACACAGTCCCAGAAGACGTGACTGGACAAGGCGTCCAAGCGGCGCCTGGTCATACACGGTTGCCATTGGATACTGCGAAATCAGCCTGCAGGCACATAAGGACAAGGAGTTAAAGTTTTGAACACGCTTTTCGTTCCCTTGTTGCATTACAAAAAAAAAAATATTAACGTTGTGTAGGCATATCTGGTTTGGTAGCGTGTACCATTATGCTCCCATTCCACTTACTGGTCACAGATCCAAACTCATGAAACTCCTAGATGCCGTTCATGATGACGAGTGTGTTCAATGAAGCTTATTCTGCTGCATGATGCACTGGTATGGTATGGTATGGTATTTGTAGCTTACGGGCCACCACAGCGTCCTGTATTTGGGCCCGGTTCTGTCGTCCGTCTTCGTTGTTGGTCCGTCCGTTGCCTTGAAGTGTCCGTTGTCTTCTTGGCTCGCAAGGGTGGGCTGAGGGGTGGGACTGGGTTCCTAGCTATCTCCTCCCGGGTAGCCGGATTGCCCCTTCTATTATTCTTTTTTTGTTTTTGTTTTTTTTTTGCCATTTTGCCATTCTGGGGTCTTTTATTTTGATTCTCATTGTTTTGAATATTGTTTTTTTTCTTTTTTGCTTCTTTTTTTGGCTTTTTTGGCTTTTTTGTCCTTGGCTCTAGGGGAGGAGATTTACAGGTCATTGATCAGCCCAGTGTTGTGTCTTAAGTGGATGAGTAGTGTTGTTAGCTCGGGGTGTAAGTCCCCGAGCAGTGTTGTGAGTGTTAGTGGGATGTTGGCGTCTCTGCAGTATGTTTGTATGTGTGTCCTGTGGTGTTGGTATTGTGGGCATGTGAGTAGCAGATGTTTGACAGTGATGAAAGTGTTGCAGGTGTTGCATTTCGGTCTCGGGCTTCTTGTGATGATGTAGTTGTGTGTGATAGCGGTGTGTCCAATGCGAAGTCGTGTGATAGCCCTCTCGTTTTTGCGTGAGTTCATGTTCTTGGTGTGCCAGTGTTCTATGCGTGGTTGAATGCATCATGCACTTCTGGACAGTGATTGATATCCGACTTGCTTGGGCGAGTGTATGCGAGTGATGTGTAGTGGTGACCAATTGTACCAAAAGAAAATGACATTGAGAACATGATTTACAAGCGCAACATGCGGCACAACTCACGTGCATACAACGACAAGAAAAACAGGAAATGTCGTAAATGACGCCATAAAACATTGTATGGCCTACAAATATATCCGCAACGCAATCCTGGCTTGAGCTAATTCAGTACCTACTTTCGCGGGAACACTTTAACTCATGTAGGTAATGTTCACACGACGCAAGACTCATATACAAACATACAACACTAAAACACAGAACACGGACATTTTGTAGCTATTGCATGTATCAGCAGCGAGGTGGAAAAACTGGCGGCATCTTTTGTCTCAAACTACGTGCCACGGTGCAATAGGCAGCTGGCATTCGATCTAGCAAAATGTGTGCTCATGATGTTAATGGCACCTGTGAGGAGGAGAAACAATTCTGAATTTGATAGGACAAAACTGTCTGGCCAATCTGTGCCGAGCACAACTCACTTCCCTGGACATGCAGAGTATGTGTTGCTGTGAGTTAGGTACTATCAGATGTCACATCGCTCTGCTTATGGTAGACCTGCAATATGTGACTTGCCATGTAAACCTGCCAGCAGCATGTAGTTTTGCAATAAAACTGTTTTTTCTGTGTGGGCTTGCATATTTCGGGCAGCAGGCAGGCACAATGCTAGTTCCATCATCACTGACTACACGCACTCATGCCGTATTTACTTGAAAACTAGTACA